GGGGATAGAGAGATTAGTGAATTGGAAGACAAAACAATCTGTCAACTGAACAACAGAAACAAACTAGACAGAAAAGGCTAGACACAGTGGCTCACGCCTGTAATCCTAGCACTTTCCGAGGCGGAGGTGGGTGGATCACCTGTGGTCAGGAGTTCGAGACCAGCCTGACCAACATGGCAAAACCCTGTCTCTAAAAAAAAACCCTGTACTAAAAATACCCAAAAAAAGGCTGGGTGTGGTGGCTCACACCTGTAATCCCAGAACTTTGGGAGGCCAAGGTGGACGGATCACCTGAGATAAGGAGTTTGAGACTAGCCTGGCCAACGTGGTGAAACCCCATATCCACTCAAAATACAAAAATTAGCCAGGTGTAGTGGCACATACCTGTAATCCCAGCTCCTCAGGAGGCTGCGGCAAAAGAGTCGCTTGAACCCAGGAGGCAGAGGTTGCAGTGAGCCGAGATTGTACCACTGCACTCCAGCCTGGGCGACAGAGTGAGACTCCGTCTCAAAATAAATAAATAAATAAATAAATAAATAAAAACAGAACCTTGTAAAGTGACCCCAAATGTGTACATGCCAAACAAAGCTGCAAAATCTGTAAAGCAAAACTGATACAATTGAAGGGAGGAATTGAAAAATACACAATTACAGGTGGATACATCAACACCTCTCTCTCAACAATTGACAGAACCACACAGAAAATCAGCAAGAACATAGAACTTAAAAACATTGTCAACTACAAGGATCTAATCCACATTTATAGAACACTCCACCCAACAACCAAATATCCATTCTTTTCCAGTGCCCCCGGAACATATGCTGAAACAAACCACATCTTGGGACATTAAATAACCTCAGCAAATTTAAAATTGCTGAAATCATATATCCAACCACAGTGAAAACAAACCAGAAATTAATAAAAGAAACAACACAGGGAAATCTCCATACACTTGAAACTAAACAACACACTTCTAAATAATCCATGAATCAAAGGAGATGTCTAAAGGGAAATTTTAAAAAATACATTGAACTGAATGAAAATGACATTACAGATTATCAAAATTCATAAGATACTCTTCTTCAATCAAAGGAACTAGGGCTCCTCAAAGAAATATCTGATTCTAGGATAGGGACATGAAATGTACAATGTGAGTCTCCAGCATTTTCAGTCCCAGAAAGTGAGGAAGTGCTAAATCAAAACAAAAGAAAAAACACATTCTGGTGATACGTTAAAGGGTCACAGGAGTCAAATGAAAGAGTTCCCAATGTCCAAAGCTGGAACCACAAAATAAAGTAGTATTGGATTATAAACCAAAATTTAAAATAAATATCCATGGAGTTGGACACACAATGGGGAACAACACACACTGGGGCCTGTGGTGGAGGGAGCAAGCTGGGAAAGGGAGAGCATCAGGAAGAATAGCTAATGGATACTGGGCTTAATGCCTGGGTGATGGGTTGATCCGTGTAGCAAACCACCATGGCACACATTTACCCATGAAACAAACCTGCACATACTGCACATGTACCCCTGAACTTAAAAGTTGAAGAGAGATATATATATCTCCATGAGTACATGCAGATATAAATAAATGATTGGATAAATAAATGGAATAAAAGAGACAAATGTCACCTGGACAAAATTTCAAATAAATTATATAGATACGTGTGACGGCTAATTTTATGTGTCAACTTATCTGGGCCACAGTACCCAGATATTTGGTCAAACATTCTGGGTGTTTCTGTGAAAATGTTTTTGGATGAGATTTACATTTAAATTTACTGGACCTAGAGTAAAGCAGATTGCCCTCAATAATGTAAGTAGACTTCATCTAATCAATTGAAGATCTGAATGGAACAAAAAGAGGACCTCCTCTGAGCAAGAGGAAACTCGGTGGACCACCTTTGCACTTCATCTGCAGCACTGGCTCTTCAAGGTTCTGCAGCAGATGGTCTTTGGACTCAAACTGCAACTCTTACTCCTGAGTCTCCAGCCTGCTGACCATGACTGATACCATACTCCAGCTCATGAAAGGAGAGCGTAACTCCCCAATCCTTACCTTCCAAAGAGTGTAGTATGGAAAGGGGCAGGGAGGGGAAGAGTAACTTTATAGTGGAGAAACTTGACAAACACTACCTTAGCCAAGTGACCATCAATAGCCAAGAATCCTTTTGATAATACATGCCCTTGATATGATGTAATGAAAATAGCATTTTACATCTGTGATCTTCCTCCCAAAAACCAATAATCGCAGTCTAATTATTAGAAAAACATCAGACAAATTCCGATAGATGGACATTCCACAATATAGCTGACCAGTATTGCTCAAAACTGTCAGGGTCATCAAATATGAGGAAAATCTGAGAAACTACCACAGCAAAGAGGTGCTGAGAACAGGAGACATGAGACATGAGAACTCAATGTAATGTGGTGTTCTGGATGGGGATCCTATTGCAGAAAAGAAACATGAGGTGAACACTAAGGAAACCTGAAAATTGTGAATTTTAATTAATAATAATATACCAATATTAGTTAATTAGTTGTAAGAAATATACCATACTCGTGTAAGATGTTAACAACAGGGGACAGCATGTGTGCACAGCAAGGGTAAAATGAGATCTCTTTGCATTATCTGCTCAATTTTTCTGCGAATATAAAACTGTTCTTAAAAATAACCTGTTAGCCAGGCACGGTAGCTCACTCCTGTAATCCCAGCACTGGGAGGCTGAGGTGGGAGGATTGCTTGAAGCCAGGAATTCAAGACCAGCCTGGGCAACATGGCAAGATCCTCTCTCTACAAAGATTCAAAAAATAAAAATAAAATAGCCAAGCATGGTAGTGGGCACCTTTGATCGCAGCTACTAGGAGGCTGAGGTGGAGGATTACTTGGAACCCAGGAGATCAAGGCTACTGTGAGCTGTAGTCACACTACTGCATTCCAGCCTGGAAAAACAGAGTGAGATCCTGTCTCAATAATAATAATCATCATCTATTAATTTAAAGAATTTAAATAATTCACATCTATTAAAAAATCATCACCACATTTTCATCACATGGTTTTAACTGATATGTGAGAAAAAGAGCAAATGTGTATAGAAAGTTCAGAAAGAAGCAAAGGTTGAAGACGTCTAAAAGCAATGTAACCTTTTTCACAATTAAGCTTCTATTTTTTTCCACAGACAAACTAAAGATACATGAGTACATAAGAAGAATTTTAGGACCAGGCACCGTGGCTCACGCCTATAATCCCAGCCCTTCAGGAGACTGAGACAGACAGATTAGCTTAGGAGTTCAAGATCAGCCTGGGCAACAGGGTGAAACCCCATCTCTACAAAAAATACAAAAACTAGCTGAGTGTAGTGGCATGTGCTTGTAGTCTCAGCTACTCAGGAAGCTGAAATGCGAGGATCACTTGAGCCCAGGAGGTTGAGGCTGTAGTGAGCTGTGTTTGCGCTACTGCACTCCAGCCTTGGCAACAAAGGGAGACCCCGTCTCAAAAAAACAACAACAAAAGAATGTATGTCCTATATATTTGCTTTTTGTTTTTTGGTTTTGGGTGTGTTTGTTTGTTTGTTTGTTTTTGGTTTTGAGACGGAATCTTGCTCCCTCGCCAGGCGAAGTGCAGTGGTGCAACCTCAGCTTACCGCAACCTCTGCCTCCGGGGTTCAAGTGATTCTCCTGCCTCAGCCTCCCGAGTAGCTGGGATAACAGGTGCACACCACCACGCCCAGCTAATTTTTGTGCTTTTAGTAGAGACGGGGTTTCACCATGTTGGCTAGGATGGTCTCGATCTGTTGACCTCGTGATCCACCCACCTCAGCCTCCCAAAGTGCTGGGATACAGGCGTGAGCCACCGCGCCCAGCATGTCCTATATGTTTGTATATTTGTAGCTTAAATTATTGTGAGACTCAACTTCTCAGTATGATCTACCTGAGAATGTTACTGGAAATACTGATTTGGGATCCCTACATAGTATAGTCAGCAACTGAATTCTAGGCACATTAACTTTTACCTTCCGTGGTCATATTTTTTTTCACACACTCCAATGTTGTATGAACCAGGTCTTTCGTAGTCATTTTTTCAAGAAGCTGAGAATATTTTTGAAAGAAAACTGGAAAAGAGAATAAAGACCATTTATTTTCCTGGTAGCATTATGACTTTGCTCTTTATCGTTACTTTCTTGCATTCTTTATTGAAACAAAACTTAAAGTGCCGTATTACTTGAGTAGAGGGAAAAGATTTCCCATTTTGAAACTATAGATATCTCTAGGAATAGCTAAAAGATCAGTAGTTGGAAGAGGACACAACAGTTCCATCATAATGGATCTAAAGTCCCCCCACATTCTCCTTCAATACTTAATATAAGATGCACGCAAAGGCAAACTCTTGGGGGTGGAGGGACGGAGGGCAATAAACACTTATATTTAGGGATGTGCACACCCTGGGACTCTGGAGCGGAGGGGAGAGGGGCAAATTAATTCTGAGGAGTTCTGGGTTAAAAAGAACCCCACATGGATCAAGAGCGCATGATTTTCTTCCTCTTCTCTCCAGTACTCTCTCCATCCCAATTGGCTCTTACTCCTCAGCACACCAATGCTCCCATGTTTCTCCCAATTTAAAACTAACCCACCTCTCCCTCTAGAAACTGAACTTTTGGGCGGGCACGGTGGCTCACGCCTGTTATCCCAGCACTTTGGGAGGTCAAAGAGGGTCAGGAGTTCGAGACTAGCCTGGCCAAGATGGTGAAACCTCGTCTCTACTAAAAATACAAAAATTAGCTGGGCGCAGTGGCAGGTGCCTATAATCCCAGCAACTTGGGAGGCTGAGGCAGGAGAATTGCTTGAACCTGGGAGGCGAAAGTTGCGGTGAGCCGAGATCGCGCCTCCGCACTCCAGCCTGGGCGACGGAACAAGACTCCATCTCACAAAAAAAAAGAAAAAAAAAAAAAGAAACTGAACTTTTTCTCTTTTCTCCCTACCTTTCATTTGCTCCTTGACCCATCATATTCTGGGTTTTACTTCACTATTTCACTAAAACCATCCCTAAAATGGATCCTCAGTAATATCCTAGGGTTACTTAGTCCTTTTCCTATTTGACTTCCTTAAAGGCTTGACCCCAGTTATCTTTCCCCTTAGCTCTTGGGACACTACTCTCTGTTGTTTTTGTCTTACCTTTCTTGCTGCTGCTTCTTACACTCTTCTGTAGGCCCCTTTTCCTCCATCCATCTCATTTAAAATGTAACATATCCCAGAGTTCCATCCTTATCCCTCTTTCTTATACTAAGTTATCTCCCTGAGTGATATTATATATTCTCATGGCATCACCTGCTACCTCTATGTGAAGGACTTCCAAAGCTCAGACCTCTCCCCCTAAATCCAGACAAATGGACCAGCAGACATGTCCATTTGAGGTTCTCACAGTCATGTAAAACTCAACATGCCCAAAACTTAAGTCACCATCTTCCAACCCAAACCTGCTACTGATCCTATATTGTCTACCTCTTTGAAAAACTTAATGATTTCTGAGTTTACAAAGTCAGAATATTGGAGCCACACTTTACTTCGCTAGGTCCCTTATTTCCCAGAACTGAATATTCATCAAACCTCTACCTCCTTTATCATTCAAAACTACTTCATCTTCTCTTTGTGCGCTAACACTAGCCATAGACCAGTCTGACAGTATTTCTCAATTGAATTAGCGAATTATCCTTCTAACCTCGCTTTCCCTCCAAATTTGTCCTCATATATCCATTTTCCACACCTCTGTCAACATGCTATTTCTTTTTTTTTTTTTGCTTTTAAAAACATTTTATTTTGTTATTTATTATGTTATTATTTGTTGATGTTTTAGCTATTGCATATTTATGTGTTTTCATTTCTTTCAATTGATTTTCTTTGAATCTTTATACATCATTACTACTTTTGGTGTAATTTATTCCACTTTGGGCACTTCTTCATAAGTCCAATCCGATTATATCAATTCCCTGCTTAAAATTCTTCGATTTTAAAAATTGCAAAAATGGCCACAACTTTCAACATTCCCTGGATCTACACTGTTTTGCAATGTGATTTTGCAGTTTCTTCATTTAAGAGACGTGGTCTATTTCTCCACTGCCTGGATCTGGGCTGCCTGTCAGACTTCTTTTGGCCAAGGTGAGATCTGTGCTAGTTCCAAGGTGAGACTTCAAAAGGCGTTGCTTACTTTAGCTTTCAGTCTTAAAAGCCTGCCAGTTGCCATGTGAACAAACCCAGGCTAGCCTGATGAATGATAAGAGAAATGTGGCCAAATCTCTCCTGCCATTCCAGCTAACATCCTCTTCCTCAGAAGCTAAGTTGCCTGTGGCCAGTACCCAACCACATATACATAAGTGAGTTCAGCCAGGACTCAGGGAATCTCCCAACTGATGCCAGTCTCAATTGCCAAGCCACAGATGTATGAGCTAAATAAATAGTTGCTGTTTTAATCCACTACGTTTTAGATTGGCTTATTAACCAGCAAAGGATAATTGAAAAAATAACCTTTAGGAGGGAAAAAAATCCAAACTCTTTATCATGATATACAGCACTCTTCATGGTCTGAGTCTTGTTTATTTCTGTCACCTACAACTTCATTTCTTAGTTCTTTGCTTAGCGCCATATGTTCCAGTCATGCATACTTACGTTTCCCCAAATTCCACACTCTCTCATCTCTAGTTCATTCTTGGTATACACAGCTCTAGATGTCACCTCCTCCAGGAAGCCTACCTCAGCCTCTTGCACTTATTATACTTCTTAACTGCACAACACTTACCATACAATGTTATAACCGCTGGTTCATTTCACCATTCTCTAAATTTCTTGAGACCAGGTGCTGTGGCTCTGTCTTGACTCTCTGTCAGGCACAGTGCCTGACATACAGTAGACGGACAATACTTATGAAATGACCAAAGAAATTAATAGAGAATCTACCTAAATGTACACTAGTTTTGATGCCTTTTAAAAATTTGGGGCCAGGCGTGGTGACTCATGCCTGTAATCCCAGCACGTTAGGAGGCTGAGATGGGCAAATTGCTTGAGCCCAGGAGTTCAGGACTAGGCCAGGAAACATGAGAAAACCCTGTCTCTACTAAAAATACAAAAAAAAATTAGCTGAACATGGTGACGCACACCTATAATCCCAGCTACTTGGGAGGCTGGGGTAGGAGAATCGCTTGAACCTGGGAGGTGGAGGTTGCAGTGAGCCAACACTGCACCACTGCACCCCAGTCTGGCTAACAGAGCAGGGGGGAAGAACCCAACAAATGCTGAAAGCCAAAGATATGCAGCAATCCACCTAATTTGCTAAACTGGCTTTTAGATCCCACACAGTCTTGAGTAGGACAGGAATAATCAGAGTAAAAGTCAGTAGAGAACTCCTCCTGAAATATGTCTTCCCATCTCCTTGTTGTCTACCTGCTCATCCCAAAAGATAAGTGTCTGTGCATTCAAATAATACTGGCCTGATAAATGCTAGAAGGAAATATAGAGTTGTCCTCACTTACGTAGTGTCTAGTATAGAGATGATGCCCCACAGATTTCACTCTGTAATACAAATACATGCACCCACATTTATGCTTCAGTTTCTCTAAATGAGAATGGATTCCATTATTTTTACAAGACAGTAACTAAATCCAAATAAAGAGTAAAATTCACAGTGGATTCCCATGAATTATGTCTCCCCAGAGAAAATTTCACTTCGGATTTCTGGATAAACTCATTTTCAAAAGTCAATTTTTAAAAGATACCCTCTCTTCATGTACAGCAGATATTGCTTATTGGTTCGGTTGGAATACTTACTGAAAAAAGCAATAAAGAATGAGATTGCCAACAGCAGGAAAAATATCATCAGTGAGGCACAAAGCAGCTTGGAGAACCCGGTATTACTTTTGTGAGGGGCAGTCCTTTTCTTGGAAGCTGAAGAAGAAGCCAAATTAGTTTTATCAGTAATAAGTTCTGTCTTTACTTCCTCTTCTTCCTCCTCTTCCTTCCCTTTTCTTGGATGACACACAGTTACTAACGGTATGACATTTGAAATCACATGAGAACAGGAATAGAAAGGCTATAATAATATTCACTTTAGAAACTTTAGAAAATATATAAAAATACAAATTCCTACCATTGAGGATAACTGTTATGCCATACAAGTTATAATGCACCATAATATTTTGATATATATCTTTCTAGCAATTTTATGAATGTATATATACATATATGCAAATTTTCCCACATGATTGACATACCATAAATACTGATATCTGCGCTATTATTTTCCTTACACTGTATCATGAACATTTTTCATACCCTTATATTTTCTTCTTTAATGCTCCGTATTATGGTTGCATAGTATTTCATCATATATTTAAATAATAGATTGTTTCCAACTTTAAATAATGCTATAGTAAATAAATTTTTATAATCATCCATGGTTACCATCTCATGGTTAGAAACTGCTTTCTTAAAGTTATGATATTTTGTAAAATGATGGGGGGAAAATCTTCAGTATTATATAATATGATTACATTTTCAGTAAAATACATATGCACCTGATATGTATTTGTCTGTGGAAGGATATTCACTAAATTGCAAATTATGATTGTCTCTAGATGATAAGAGTAATTATAATTCAAATATCTGTGTACCTCTGGCTAATTTATTCTACAATGAACGTTAATACTTGTGTAATAAAGAAATTATACAAAGTTTTTAAGGGGAAAAAATTTCCCTAAGTGCTCTCCACACCTTCACAGAGATATTTTAGAAAGCATAACTATAGTCCTGACCCCTTCCCCCATAGTTTCTTGTACTCTATATACATTCTTTTCTCTCTTTTGCTCTATACTTGGGATATCACACATGACACCCAAATTACCTTGCATCTACTCGTAAACGTAACAGAGTCTGTCTCAGAGATGCAACATGCAATAAGTTCTCTGATTTCAGAAAAAGTTTCCTGGAGATTTAAGAGACTTTCTTTGTAGACTTTCTAGTCTTTCATTTGCAATGGCCTTTTGTTACATTTCCATCCATTACCAACAAATATTCCCTCACCACTGTCCACCCAAACTCTTTCCCTCTAACTGATCAAAAAACAAATCTCACAAATTCATCAGGACCCCCTGCATCTGGGTTGATGGTTTCAGAAGCTGTATTCAACCTCTTAACCCCAGCCCCACTCAGCCTTAGAAAACACAGGGGCATCAGAGCGCTCGCCTTAGCTCAGAACTGGCATTGATTTCTCTCACCTCTATTTCAGTAAGCAGAGTGGAGGCTGAAGAGCGTGGCACAAAATCTTTTGTTCTCCACACTACAAATGTACACCCCGTAATGTGTATCTGCAGGCTACTCAGTCTTCTGGGACTCTTGTGTTTCCCAGACATATTCAATCAGAGAACCAGCAACTCCCAACACCTAGGCCTTATTCATAAACCCTCTCCTCATCCTTCCTCTCATCATTCACTCTGACCCGCAGAAAATGATCTTTACCTGCAGAAGAGGCTGAGTCGATGCCTGAGAACTTGGATTCATTTTGGAACCTCACTTCAGCATAAGTGATTTCTGAAGTCATAATGGGAAGAGACCTTCTGCTTTCTTCAAAAAATTGGTTTCAAATCTTTCTTCAAACATCTTATAAATGAGAACCAAACATGGTGGTAGATTACCTCCTTCCTTTCACCCACCTAGAGGAGAGCAGAGGCACCAGATATCTTCAAGATAGGCACATATCTTCAAGAGCGGTCTCTTGAGAACTAAGGATCACAATAAAAACCAAAAACCTCAGTTCACAGAGGCCCTTTCCTCAGGACCACTATAGTGAGAATCACAGCTTTGAAACAAATGCAAGCAAATGCAATAAAAGTGGGAAACTGAAGGGTTGTGGAAACAGGAAGGAAAAAAAAAAGAGGAACCAAGCAATTAGAGAAGTCTTTCTTGAAAACTGTGTTCTTCACCAGTAAAAAATACAATTTGTGTGCTTCCACACGCAAATGTAATTATTTTTGACCAAACAACCTGAACAAAGACTTAGGCTGCATTCATCTTATCATTTTTGACTGATAGGCAACTTGTTAGTACCACATTCTAAGAATATAGACACAAAACTCACGTATCAGCCTCCCTACCTTCAAGAATCAGCTTCCTCTAGCATGGTGGGGAAGGCAGAGTTTAAACCCCATGCCTTCTGAAGCTGCTTCTCCATGCTCTCGGTGTTTCCTTGTTGGTAACTACTCTATCAAGGGTCTGCATTCATCTTGCTAGAATCTCCGGAAAGCAGCTCCCTCTATTGGATGCTGGAGGAGAGGGAAGGCCAGCCTTTATTCCACGCTTTCCTAGCCTTTTAATCCCCACACCACCTCCAATATATATGACTATTTTTTAACAGTTAGGATAATTAAATAGAAACACAGTATAGAAGGGGATAAACTTAAAGTACGAAATATAACTTTTTCCAAAGGCCTAGAAGAAAACACTCCAAATATTAAATCCTTCCTGTGGAATCTCTCCATAGACATGCTCCCAGCTCACACCTGGATTCTCTGCCCTCAACTCTCTGCAAATGACCCTCCTTTTAATCTCCCCGAGCTGATTCCTTCTCCTGCATAGCATGTATGCACACACACACCCCTATATTTCTATATTATTTCTATATCTAAATATATTGAACACCAATATTCTATAATCTAAATATATTGAACACCATGAGTTCACACGAATTCCTCTAATTCCAATCTAACACCACAGGATTCATTCTAGTTTTCTCCCTTCCCACATTCCTAACTCCTTTCTGTGACAGTAAGAAACCTGCTTTCATTGTCTTTCACTTACTCCTTATTTGATCAATCTCCTGGATGTCTTCAATCTCCCACCTGCTAAGATGTCCCTCTCTTCCTAGTTGGGCTCTAACTCTTCAGTCCAAGCCACCATCCCCTGCGCTGACGCCCTCCCTCCTCACTCTGAGGGTGCCGGCAAAGGGCCAGCCCTATCCCCACTCCCATGAACATCCCCCCACAAACATCCTCCTCACCCTGCCAAGGTTCTGACTCCCTGTGCTAGGCCACTCCTCTTCAGGAAAGCCCTCCTCACTCTGCTTGCGCTCTGATTCCTGATGCTGGTCCCCTAGTCACCACTTAGACCCCCGTAGGTTCTAATGCTCCACACAAGGTCACCCCATGGGTGGGAACCCTCCTCACCCTGGAGGGGTTTGACCTCCTTATTGGGCTATCCTACCACATGGACCACTTCCTTATCCTGCTAAGTTTCTGAAACCCACACCAAGTCTACCCTCTGCATAGAAGCTTTCTTCATCCTGCTTGGGCTCGACACTCCATGCAGGTCCTCCATCCCCCAGCAACAATGTCCACCTTACCCTACTTAGGATCTGAGTTCCCTCACTGGGCTACCCCACCACATAGACACCCTCCTTATCATGCTTGGTCTCTGAAACTCACACCAGGTCTACCCTCTGCAAGGATGCTCTCTCTCCTCATCCTGCTTAAGTGCTGAGTCCCAACCCCAAAGGGGCCAACACTAGGCATGGGTATCCTCCTCACCTCTCCCACATGCTGACATACATACCAGGCTGGCCCCAGAGTACTCTGCTTGCGACTCTGACTCCCTACAGAAGGTGACCTCATACATGGATGCCCTCCTCACCCTGTTTGCACTCCAAGTCACTACACCTGACTCTCCCACCACCTCTCAGGCTCTGACCTCTCACATCAGGCTACCCCTCCTATGGACACCCTCGTCGATCTTATCCTCTGACACCCTGCACTGGGCCATTGTCAGGAGTGGACATCTCCTCGCTCTGGCTCTCCATGTCAGAACGCTTTCCCACCCCCACAGGGTGTTCTTCTCACTCTGCTTGGGCTCCAGCACCACCGTCAGGCCAGTACCCTGCATAGTCACCCTTTTCACCCTGCTAAAGCTCTCACCCTGTGCCAGCCAGGCCACTCCTGCTCTCCCAGCTACCTCAACACAGACACCTCTCTTGCTACTGCTTTGTTTAGAATCAAATTATTTAGTAAGAAAAGGGAAAGGGGAATGGCAAAGCATAAGGGAGGGATAAGAGAAATTTAAGTTCTCCACAATTAATTATTGGACCTAACCAGCATGTGCACGTAGACAGGTATACATGCACACATACTCCCTGAAATAATGATCATTGATTCTCAGAGGCTTTACAATCTAAGCTCATAATTAGAAAGCAAACCATATTCCTAAAATTATAGCTCTCTCCCTAGAATAAGTCACGTTATAACTGGATTACACTGTATCACCAACAACCCCAAAATCCAAGAGGCTTACAACACAGACATGTATTTCTCACTCACATTGCACATGTGCTTAGGGTCACCGTGGAGCTGACTGCAACTCCGCTTGGCTCCTTTCCAAGTGTTTTCTCATTCTGGAAGCTGAGATCACAGAATAACTCCTCGTAAGCTGGACCATGTAGTAGCATCCTTTATTCAGATAAGGTGTACATTGTATTTGCTCTGATTCTGTTGGCCAATGCAAGTTATCTGTAAGCGAGACAGGGAAATATACTTTGTCTACAGAAAGATATGTCAAGGGTATCAAAGTTTAATCCTTTCACAAAGGAGAACATAAACATTTGGAAACAATAATAGAATCTACCCCCCTATCCCTTTAAATTATTTATCCAAGAGATCTCTTGGGCAGTGATCTCCAAAATAGGGTGCAAGTACTTTAGGCAGTATAAAAGAGGATCTGCTAAGGCACAGAGATAAAACACTAAACATCTATTTATACTGATTTAAAGTTTTAAGGAAGATAAGCTTTACTAGTATTGATTGCATGTCATGTGTGGTATGGCACCTATTATGAGGGAAGACTGGAAGTTCCACAACTCTGAGAGGTTGACCGTGTGCCTTCACTTGTTCGTTTACTCTCTGAATATTGTATCCTGCTGCAGTTAACCTGGGTAGTAAAGAATTTGCCTCGATTTTATCCCCACTTCCTGGGAGGTAGCCTTTAAATCCTTGGAATTTTCTAAGTAATAGGATTGTCTTTGTTATTCGTGGTGGGCCCGATGAGGTCTCTCATGATGGGCTCCAAGATAGTTTATGCTAAGAAGGTGATTCAGGATGGGGCTGGCCATGCTGGAAAGACCAGCCATGTGATTGGAGCACTGGGGCCTTGAGCCGTGTTTTATCAGCCCAGGTGGGGAAGCGAAGCTAGAGACTGAGTTCAACTTGTGACCAATGGTTCAATCAATCATGCCTACATAATGGACCCCAATAAAAACTCTGAACATTGAAGCTCCCCTGATTGGCAATACTCTGTATATTATCACACATTAAAGTTCTAAGAAAGTGATATATCTATGGGGTCAGTGGAAATTTCCATTTAGGACTCTCTCAGGCCTTACCCCATGCATCTCTCCCTCTGGCTGGTTCTGATTTGTATCCTTTTGCTATAATAAAACTGCAGTCATAAGCATGACACTATCCTGAGTTCAGTGAGTCATTCTAATAAATCATAAAACCTGAAGTGATCACGGGTATCCCCAAATTTGTAGTCAGTTGATCAGGAGTGAGGACACCCCTGGGAACCCCTGAACTTGTGGCTGGTATCTGAAGTAATGGCAGTCTTATGAAGGCCATGCCCTCAACCTGTGAAATTTGGCCTAAGTCCAGGCAGTTGATATCAGAAGTTAATTTAATAGCTCAGTATTGTTAGTTTTATGAAAACAAAATATTTGTTAGACTATTTATATTGATATGATGGCAAGTGACCATTTTGTTCACTGTGAAAGTAATCTCAGTATTTAGAAGTAAGGATGGAGTAAATAGGGCACTTTTATTTTTACTTCAAAGTTTTTTACTGTTTGATATTTTATAAGCATGTATTTCTTTCATAATAAAAAGACACAGGCTAGGCATGGTGGCTCACGCCTGTAATCCCAGCACTTTGGGAGGCCGAGGCGGGTGGATCACCTAAGGTCAGGAGTTCGAGACCAGTCTGACCAACATGGTGAAACCCTATCACTACTAAAAATACAAAATTAACCAGGCGTGGTGGTGCATGCCTGTAATCCCAGCTACTAGGGAGGCTGAGGCAGGAGAATCACTTGAACCTAGGAGGCAGAGGTTGCACTGAGCCGAGATCGCACCATTGCACTCCAGCCTGGGCAACAGGAGTGAAGCTCTGTCTCAGAAAACAAAAGCAAACAAACAAAAAAATCTATCTTATTTTCACCAAAGATGAGACTAAGACCATTTTTGCAGCAAGACTAGTTAATTCAGCTGGTATAGTATTTTGTTCAGAGGAACTGCTTAAGAAAACAGATCTTTTGTGTCTGGATTCTTTCATTTAGCGTAGTGTTTTTGGGGTTCATCCGTGTTATAGCTCAAATCAGTTTCTCAGTCCATTAGTGTTGTAGCTGCAAGACTAGTTAATTCAGCTGGTTTAGTATTTTGTTCAGAGGAACTGCTTAAGAAAACAGATCTTTTGTGTCTGGATTCTTTCATTTAGCGTAGTGTTTTTGGGGTTCATCCGTGTTATAGCTCAAATCAGTTTCTCAGTCCATTAGTGTTGTAACAACAAAATACCTGAGACTGGGTAATTTATAAGGAAGGGAAATTTATTTTCTCAGTTCTGGAGGCTGGGAAGCCCAAGATCAAGGCACCAGCATGTTCAGTTACCTGGTGATGATTGTATCTTCTAAGGGGAGGAACTCCATGTCTTCACATGGCAGAAGGCAGATAGGCAAGAGATAGACCAGCAATGCATGATACCTGTTTTATAGGAGCCTTAATTCCATCCGCAAAGCCCTCATGGCCTAACCACCTCTAAAAGGGCCCA